TGCCTTTTTGATCAAAGTTTGTGACTAAGGATCTGTTGTATTAGGTTAGAGTCAGGTGATGAGCAGAAAAATAACTGGAGGTTTACTAAACTATTAACTTTTGCCATGATTTATTAACTGCTTAACTATGCTTTATTAACCCAGTGCTGCCAGGTGGTTTCCAGATATGAAAGCCCTCTCTCCCGGGGTGTATTCATAGCGGCCTGGGCCCCGCTGCTGGGGGACTGTGTCGTCACCACAGTGTACACAGCATGACCATACATGCCCCCGGAAAACGGAGCTGGTGCACCATGTCATGTATTCACATGCCACCTGGAATATAGTCCAGGCATGCCATGGCATGTACGAAAATACCACCCGGCAGCAACGGGTTAAATTACCAACTAGAAACTTCATTCTTTTATAGAGCTACAGATGGTTTATGGACTGACTTTAAAATATGTATTGAATTTCTGCATTACATGATGTAGATAGTTTTGTAGAGTTTGTTTGATTTCTGGGTGTGAACGGATTTTGCAGTTATTTCCAGTGACTGGGATATGGAGACAAATTATATAATAGTGGATTTATTTCATTGGTTTTCAAATCTTGAAGATGAGGAGAATCTGGAAGTGGAAGAGTATACTGTATTGATATTAGAAAAGGTAATAACCAAATTAATTTTACATAGAGTCATATGGTAAAAAGACCCAGTTTCATTCCAAGTTTTCCTCTTATTTTCATCAGGTAAGTTTAGCATTAAGGCCATTTTTGCACCAAAAAGCTTTGAAAGATATGTATGCCATACCAATTCTCAGACTAGAATCAAATGTGTAATTTTGCTATTTTAAGATATCAAAGACATTGGTAAGTTTTACTTCTGAAGTAATGTACAGTAATTTACACTCATAGTGAGATATCTTGCGATTGTGGCTGGATTATTACAAATGTTATGCATGAAAAAATAGATTACAGTATATTTTACATTAATGGAGCTAGTGTTAGGCAAGACATGTAATGTTCTATTTACTTTTTTGTCAGAAATTTGATTCTTTTACTTTAATGAGAGAGAAACTCAAATTACTAGAGAAATATTGAAATATATAAAACATTATCATGGATCTTGATATGTCTATTGATTATCATTGCTCTAGTGTTGAATGATAGAGACTCAGGCTGTAGGTCCCCCTGACAAATAATATTCACTGAAGTAATGAAATATAACTAATAAATCTGTTTTGTGTTTTAGCCCATCCAAGGGGGGTAACATGCCTTGGTGATCCCTTCAAGAAAGGTATAATCATATATGTGATGTGCATATTTTCATATCTGTCAATGCACTTTGTGTTCTCAAGCTTCAGTTATCCAGCAATACTTCCTTTTTGATACTGACTGGTGCAGGCTTTTGAGGAGAACTTTTATATAGATAAAGAACTGTACTGATTCCTTTTTAACTTGACTCATGACAATGATGCATGTGATAAACAGGCCCTGTTTTATGAAAATGTCTTTCTAATTACATTTATCAAGTCCTTTATCACATGCATGTCATTAACATCAATAGAAGTTAGATACAACTTAGATGCTTCAACCTTTGATTCTTTGTCTGGTGGCTGTGTGGTACATGCTTTAGAAATGAAGAAATTAATGCTTTTCTTGCTCTTTCTTCTGTGTCTCTCAGTTTAAGGTAATAGTAAAAGTATGTTTGATGCTGAAACCAAGCACACTTGCATGATCTTATCTCCCTGCTGTGTTAAGTATTTCTGTTGTTTTTTTTCCAACAGATTAAAGTATTGCATGTTTTGGGGACTATATCTTCATACCTGTTAGCATTACCTTCAGTACATTCTAGTCATTACTAGAACTTTTTTATGTAACAAATTAACCCATTAGTGCCAGGTAATTGCACTGGCCACTGTAATTTTTATTGCATTTTGTTTACATGTAACAGGCTCAACAAGCAGTAGGTCACCATGAGTCAATTAGTAGGCCTAAGGAACCTCAACTAACCTCAACCTCCATTACTGTATTACAGTATTATTATTAACATTGGCATTATCTTTATATTATCAGTACTAATAGCAATACAACAAAATTAAAATCTTTCCAATCTTTCCAAAAATCAGGGAAGTAGGTGAACATTTGAGATCTGGTAAGGTTAGGAATTGACTCAGTGGTGACTAAGCACTTATGGAGCCTTCAATGTACAAGCTAAATTGAATAAGCTAAAATCAGAACATGTACATGCCATCCAGGCATCATTGGGTTAACTGATTTCCAGTTGAGATAATGCAGTTGTTTTATTAATTTGTTTGGTTTATGTATTTATATACAGAAAACTAAAGGTTGCTCTATGGCAGGTGCTATTAGCTATTTAAATAGAAAATGATTACTATACCTAAAACCCAAATAGCTGAACAATTTATGTATAGTTAGATAGTTCAACAATAATTACAGCCAGGTAGAAAACACAAGATGTTTCTGGTATATAGTTATTTACATTTGGTACTTTTGTATACATTAAATGCTGTTAGGGATAATCAATTCAGAACAATCTATTAACCCCTTGGATCTTGGTGAAGTGACCATCATGTCATGAAAAAAATTTGGGTTGATGGCTGGCTGACATGAACATGCTGTCATGGAAAAATAAGTAACCAAGCTCAGAATGTACCATCTGCTGGCTATAACTGGAAGAGCAATGACACAAATTATGAAATGTTACTTATTATTATTTTCATTTCACTGAGTTATGGACTACCTAGAGAGATGATATAGAGTGTGTGAGCAAGGAATACATTACCAGCTGGATATGGCATATAAAATGACAAATATAGACATTGAAAAATGGCAAAAAAGCAGAAAAAGAGATAATAGCATTATAAAGAGGAGACAAGAAGTCTTGACACTGTAATTAAGTGTTTGTGTGTGCCTGGCTTACAAACCACACATTCGTAAGAGACCACTCAAGTAAACCTAATGCCAGGATTTTAGGAAGCTCCCAGATCCAGTGGGTTAAAGAATGTTAAGCATTTTTAAAGATCTTAAGATCTTTTGCAAGAGTATCATACAAGATTTTAGAAATCTCTGGTGCATATTTGAGTAACAAGTAGTGAATGATAGTATATGCTGAGACTGAAGTATATACCTGAAATGTGTTAATCTTTCTTACAGATAATTAATTCATATATGCTGCACAGTTTTGTTTTTAGTTCTTCAATTGTTTATAGGTATTTTTTGTCATGTTTGTTTGGATTTCTCGTCCTTTTTACCATGGCTACGTATATCCCTTTAAAATTGTGTATATAACATAGAGAATATGTGAATTAGCTGATTATTAGCAATTTACTACCTGTTATATGTGAATCAGATCAGTCATCCAGCTAGGAAATTTCTAGGTTCAGACAGTTCACTATCAGATATGCAATACAGTATGTATTAGTGAGTTGAAAATATTGTTAAAAAAACTAGCAGTAAAAGTCTCTATGTATATATCAGAAAATTAAAGTAAAAATGAATAAGAAGTTATAATGGATGAGTCAAAAGGAAAGAATGATTTACTTCCTTTGAAATGATGGTTATAGTTGCATAACCTGTTGGCCCTGGATGCCAAAAACTCAAGGAATAGGGTTCACAGTTGAGAGAAAGGAAACATGTAATTGACTTGTTGGTGACTAAGCATTTGTGAAGCCACCTGTGTATAAAAAAAAAAAGATAAAATGAAGCCATACGAGACAGGACATATATACATGTACCCTTGGCATCAGTGGATTTATGTCTTTCAATTTATTAACAAAAGGATTTTTAGAACCAAAAAAGTTAATTTTTCTATTCCTAGGATGATTGCAATTAGCGTATGTTATTGATAATCTTTATTGCATTACATTTGTTTTGGATGACCTGATTAATTTTGAATTTTGTTTTTGATCTACCAAACCTTGCTTCTGTTTTGTAGGTCATTAGATGTGATTATTCACAATCTTAGTTATTATTATTATTAATGTTGCTGTTCTCCTTTGTCTTATTTTTATTATTGTTATTGTTATTGTTATAGTTATAATTATTGGTATTATTGTTGTTATTGTTGTTATTATTATAATTATTATTATTATTATTATAATTATAATTATTATGATTATTATTGTTGTTATTATGATGATGATGGTGATGATGATGATGAGGATGATGATTACTATTATTATTGTTATTATTATTATTGTTATTATTATTATTATTATTATTATTATTATTATTATTATTATTATAGCTATCAGATATTTTTTTAAGATTATTTTTCACTGCAGCTGTGAGTCTTTTCTTTGCTATGCTTGCCGAGCTTCTATTTTTTTTAAATTATTTTTTGTTTTTATTTTTTTGCTTGTATTTATCTGCTTGTTACAACAGTTACTTTCTCTGATGTAGTAAACATGTATGTATCATGAATATTGTTTTTTTCATCTTGTGAAATTCTATTTTAGAGTCTTTTCATGTGATATACTAAATTTTTCATTCATTAAAAGCAGTAATACTTAAATTATTGTTCCTTTTAGGCCTGCTTCAAACATTACATCAATCAGGCATGAAGCTAATCAGATATATCAACTGAGTTGACTTTGTGCACCCATAATAGTTGCAGTAATCTGGGAAGACAAAAAGGAAAAAAAATGCACCTTGGCATCCTCTCTTTCACCTACAAATCCTCCCCTCCATCAACTCTGTTGTTGTGAAATAAGGAGAATCAAATTTCTCTTCTCTGCCTGGGAGTGAAAAGTGCAGTGCTCTTTTTTCTTTCTAGATTCGGTGTTCTTGATTACTCTGGAAGTGTACATTTCCAGTTTTGTTGCTTCTTGGGGTTCATCTCAGTTTTACTGTCTTTTAGGCTAAGTTTAACTTTCTGTTAGTCTTTTTTTTGTTTATTGTCTGCATCTGTTCCTTGCTTAGGTAGGGGGAGTTTTGTCCTTTCACGGTATTTCCTATTTTGTATTGCATTAATTATCTTGCCTCAGCTCTGTTCTAATGGT